AAAGTCACTGTTTACTCCCTTCTTGAAGAACCCCCATATTGTAGCCTACCGGGAAAACCTCGGCAGGGAGTTCATTCCACAAGGGGAGTGTCAAATTCCTCTGAAAAAAATACAGTAGTTGCCGTCTAGTCAAATTCAATACTTTTATCAAAATTTCAAAAGCGAGATACTGTTCTATGAATTTTGTACGAAATACCATCTTATGACGTCATTTCATTTTCGCGTCAAATAGCACATTTACTACTCTGTCAAGAAAGTACCGGGAAAAGATCAATAATACACAAAATGCAGTATTCATCCAAATTTATTTTATCACCTTCAAAGTATGCTCCTTTAGTAACGATGCACTTGCGCCAACGAATAATCCATTCATCAAAACATTTTTTAAACGCTGCTTCCGTAATAGTAGGGGAGCCCACGATGCTAAATTTGGATTTACTCGAGCGTCTTTCTTACAGTATTTTGAAGATACGCTGATAGAAAGAAGAAATGGTTTTGTGACAATTTCTTCCACCGGTGGGGGAAGGGGGAATCCACAGATCTTTGAAATTGTTAAGCGTAACTTTTGTTCTAGTGGTCGAGCGTGTCAGATATTGATAATGTACATGCTTCATGTGTATTTAATAATAAAAAACTCTTGTAGGGTTGCTGGTTGTGAAATTAAAGCCCCGATGTTCTTGATAGTTATTTATTTATTGGCAACTTCACTTACATAAATTTACTTTAAACTAATCAAGATAATTGCAACCCTCAGTGGAGGGATGAAAGGGACTGCGTGGCTATCGTCTTTCAGACCTCCCCTAGCTGGCTAATTCCAGAAGACCGCTAGGCTATCGAACTGGAGTTAGTCGTACTTAGGTTCAGAGGAGGCCGCTAGGCTACTGAACTCTGATCCTCTAGCTAGTGGAATGATGATTTGTTCGAAGACAACTCTGCTTATAAAGGCGGATGATTTGCATGTGTGTTCAATCTTCATGATAGTTGTCTGTAGTTGTAGTTGTTTTGGATATATTATACTGGATGGCGCTGGGTGTTCGTTACACTCTTAATCTGCCAGTTTGCATGGTGGGGTTGAATGTTCTGGAGAGTACAAACGAGAACCCTTCAAAATCCCCCCACTCTTGCAAATCAAGTTCGAATGGGCATATTTTTTAAACGTACTTCCTTTAGGGATACCATGCTATCCCTTCTTACCTTCCCTTAATCTGACGAAACCGACTTTATTTAGTCATATTTTTTTTAATTTTTAGCCCCCCCCCCCCCTTCTGATCAGATCGGATATATGGTGGATATATGCAACATGACACTAGGTTTTCACCGTATGTTAATCTGACACGCTCGAGTAACTACCGAAATCCCTTCATGGGTTCCCCTACTATAATTGAGTTCTGTTCTCGCCGCGAATTCTCCTTTAAGTCTTCTATCGATTGAAAACGGGGGCCACGAGGTGGTAATTTGAGTTTAGGAAAAAGAAAAAAGTCAGCAGGAGCCATATCTGGTGAATATGGTGGTTGCTGGATGGTATTTGTTGAGTGTTTGGTCAAAAATTCGTTCACAATGATAGCCTTGTGCGAAGGCGCATTGTCGTGGTGCAAAATCCAAAAATTTTCTTTCCACAAATCTGGCCTTTTTCGTCGAATTTGATCTCTTAAACGCCGCATAACGCTCAAATAATATTCTTTATTTACCGTTAGACCTTCCGGGAGGAATTCAGAGTGCACAACAACGCGATAGTCAAAGAAAACACACAAGAAAGACTTTTGATCGACTTTGGCGTGGTTTTTTCGGTTTCGGTTCAGTTGGAAGGCGCCAGTCCGAAGCTAGTTTGCATGTCAAACTCGTAAACCGACGTCTCGTTACCAGTAACAATGCGTTTCATGAATGTTGGGTCCGAACTGATTCGTTCTAGCATGTCCTCAGCGGCTTTCATGCGATTAAGTTTTTGGAGATAATTCATATCTTTTGGGACTAGCCGAGCAGCAACATGTTTCATACCCAAATGATTAGTTAAAATGGTACGGATCGACTCGTGACATACAGAAAGTTCGGCGGCTATCTCTCTTAGAGTTGAATGGGGATTTTCAGTCACTATTTAAGGAAATAATGTGAAATTGAAGGCACTTTTGCGATGTTAACTTCAGTTGCAGACGTTGACGGCCTTCCATAGCGAGGCATATCTTTCACCACATCTCGACCGCTTTTGAACGCTTTGAACCACTCATAAGCACGACTTTTTGATAAAGTCGATTCACCGTAAGCTTTCTGTAACATTTTCAGTGACTCCGAACACGAAATTCCATTGGCGATGCAAAATTTAAGACGAACTCTGATCGATATTTTTGTCCATTATGAAATTCGCAATACACACAATATATGATATTACTATAACCAGCGCTGTATTTAATATAAATAACAGATGCAACTCAAACTCAGCGCCAAAATGGAAAACAATTGTGCAAATCTAACAATTACAAAAAACAAAAAATTTGAATTTAAAAGATACTTTTTTGACTCAATGTATATCTAAAAAAATGCTAGAATAAATCGTAAATTAAATATATCGGCAAAACAATGAATGAAAGTGTAACTATTCTTCAATATTTAATTGGACTGAAATATCAAAATAATTTATTTTGTACCCAGCAAACTACCGGATTGTATAGGACCAGTTGGGCTCCTATGTGTTAGCGTGAACTCCCTGTCGATGGCGAGAGCGCGATTATACAAAATGGGAATATAGCAAATACTAATATCATTATTAACTCGTTGAGTACCGTCATTCATTATAGACACAATTAAAGAACAATAGGTTGCGGTCACCGGTGTTCTCGCGGTGTTTGACAGTTTAATGTATGTTTTGAACGATCTGTCCAGGCACGTTCCTCCTCCGCGACTCCGCCCAGGAGGAGCACCTGTTCAGCGTGTCGTTCCGCAAGTACGGGCGCTCGCTGCACGCGCGCATCGAGCACTACCAGCACCGGTTCAGCTTCGACTCCCACGACCCCGCCGTCTTCGCCGCCTCCACCGTCACCAAACTCATCGAGCATTACAAGGTTAGCTCTTCTATTTAAGTAACCTAAAAGTAAATGTAAGTACGTAGTTAGTAATGAATGTACGTCCCCAGGACCCGGCGTGTGTGATGTTCTTCGAGCCGATGCTGACAGCTCCACTGCCGCGCAGCGAGCCATTCTCTCTGCAGCAACTCGCGCGGGCTGTCATCGTCTCGCATACTAGTTACGACGGTAAATACTCGAGCGACT